CTGCAGCCCAGCCCCGCCCCCGCCGTCCACGCAGAGCTGGCCTGTCCTTCCTCCACCTGCTCCACCCAGGTCTGGGCACTTCGGGCTGGGGCGGGCTGGGGAGAGCCGGGCTAGCCGACGGGGAGGCCCGCTGGCTGGTCCCACTTGCAAGCCGCAGGCAGAAAGAGTAGTTTCGCTGCTGAAACCCGCTCAGCATCCACCCACTTGTCGCTCCCCTCCTCTGCCTCCACCCGGCCCAGCCCCATCACCGCTGGACCAGCGCAGTCATCGTCTGGGCACTTCGGGCTGGGGCGGGCTGGGGAGAGCCGGGCTAGCCGACGGGGAGGCCCGCTGGCTGGTCCCACTTGCAAGCCGCAGGCAGAAAGAGTAGTTTCGCTGCTGAAACCCGCTCAGCATCCACCCACTTGTCGCTCCCCTCCTCTGCCTCCACCCGGCCCAGCCCCATCACCGCTGGACCAGCGCAGTCATCTCGACCCAGTCCCCAGACTCCTGTCTTTGCTCTCTACAGCCTGTTCTCCCTGTAGCAGCCAGAGGGCGCTCGTGAGCCCCAGAGTCAGGGCGGGTCCCTCCTCTGCCGGCAGCCCTCCATGGCTCCCAGTGTCCTTGGGGTGAAGCCTAAATCCTCCCCAAAGACCACAATGCCCTGCACGACTCGCCTCTTCACCTCCTCTCTCTCCCCCTCTCATGCTTCTCCTTCCTAATACACGCCAGCACAGTGCCGCCCCAGGGCCTTTGCACAGCCTGTGCAATGCACCTTGGGCAACTTCCTGGATAATTCAATCATTCCTTCACTTCCTATAGGTCTTTGCTCAAATGTGACTTTTTTTGTAGTTTTTTTTCTATAGGGTATGTGCGCTCACCAGACAGAGAGACAGAGAGAGAGAGTGAGAAATTCCCCCCCAGGGAGGTTGGCCATGCCGCAATCCCTTCTCCTCCATTCTTCTCTCGGGATATTGGGCACACACGCACACGCGCCCGGCGTGAATTTAAGTCACCAGGTCCAAGACTAAAACAACCGTCGCCTACATGGGAGTCCAGCGACATAGCCATTATGCCAACTGCTGGTCCCTCTTGGGGTTTCTTTTTTAATTCTCATAGCCACTAGGAGGCGCTAGAACCCTTCGCTGGACCTTGTCCCCATTTGATATCAAAACCAATCCAGCGGGGGGTCGAGCATTCTGCCCCCTGAACCTGGAGGCTTTTCCACGTGACTAGGAGGTGGAGGACTGATGGGGGAGCGCCTAGAAACTCCCTGCGACATCAAAACTTGTCGTGGTCCCCAAACCTCCTTAGTTCGCAGCTCCTCAATGTGCTCATCTGTCAAACGTTTGACGATTACTCTGACCGCACAGAATTTGCGATGGGGATCCGAGTTAACGGGGCTCTGACGGTGGAAGCAAGGCAGACGGGATAGCGCTGCAGGGCTCTGGGTTTGAATCCCATCTCCACCACTCACAAATGAGGTTAACATAGCTGCCCTGTGCCTCCATTTCTGCATCGGGAAAACGGGGTGGAGAAAATCACCTCCCTCCCTAAAAGGGGGGACGATCTGAGAATTAAATGGGTCAAGGCAGGTGGAGCAAGCAGCCCCGTCCAGGTACGAAGTAAGCGCTTGATAAACAGCACTGCTTTCGAGACTTGTTATTGTGACGAGGCTTGGCTTTTATAAACGCGGCCAGAGCGGCCTCTCTCTGGCCCCAGGCCGCCTCCCCCACTTTCTCCTTGCATCTGCAGCACCGCGGTGGAAGCCCCCCACCTCCTCCTTCCCACCCAGGAAACCACCTGAAGTCTTTGCCCTCGTCTTCCCCAAAGTCCAGCCCAGTTCCATCCTGCTGTCATGGGACAGGCTGCTGGGCCTTCCTGCTTGGCTCGCCC